TTTTGATTATTCCATGATCATGCAATTTAAACAAAACAAATTAAATATAAACAAGTTTAGAGCAAACAATATGCATGAAAAATAAAAATGGTAAGGAAAAAATAAATTGGTTAGTACCAAGAAAGATTATATCTATCAAGGTATATAATATATCCTAACCTCATGCTTTTTAGTTCCATGCTTTGTTTTAAAAAAAATAACCTAACTGTATGATTACTAGTTCACATGCATTTATTCAGAGAGAAAAACAAAATATTAAAAGCTAAAGCTTATTTCTCCTTTGTGTATACTTACGGACAGAGGTTCAGTACTGTCTTAGATCAGGAGAATTTCTAGGGTTCATTATATGCAGGGTTTTGGTTCTAAGGGTAAAGGTACTCGAACTGTCCTTGTCGGTGCCCCCTTGGGCTGCCAAACCCTCAATCCTAGTCCATCATAGACTAAAATGGATCGAGTTCAATTCGATGGGATACACTTCTCTATGCCTGACACGGAGAATAAATTCTCACGAAGACATAAAGCATATGAACCCCGAAAGTTACTTGCTAGGTCTGACACGGAGAATAAATTCTCACGAAGACTTCGCTTTCACTCCCACTTAAAAGGGACAAACTCAATTATAGAGCTTTATGTTATGCAATGCAAGTGTTGTGTGTGAGGAGAAATGTTCAAACCTCTAACAGATAAATAAAATAATTAATACCTGAAAAAAAATATTAATAAAATAATATAAAAATATTAAGTAATAAAAAATTTGAAAGAAAAGAATTAAAAATTAAATAAATGAATTTTTAATTTCTAATTAATAGAGACAATTTATAATTAATTTTAAAGTTTGATAGGTCCCCAGCGGAGTCGCCAAGCTGTCGTAACCGGTTTTCGTCCGGGCACGAATTTTTTACTTGGCGGGAAAAGTGATGTGAATAAATGATTTTTTTTAAATAATTTGGGAGTCTCCATCGGCCTTTTGGATCAGGTAGGTCAAATACCTAAAAATCATCCTTTAAAAGAGTTTTTCAGAAAACATCGATTAAAATATAAACTGATCTGCGTTTTAACCAAAAATTCATTCTTTTTAATGATAAAAAGTGATTCGTGATCGGTTACGTTTAGGGAAGGATTAGCACCCCTACAACGCCCAAAATTGGTACTTTATTAATTATAAATTGTCTCTATTATTAGAAATTTAAGAATTCAAAGATATATTTAATTTATAATTATGTTATTTCAAATTTTATTATTATAATTTTTAAGAAAATATTAATTTAAATATATTTATAAAAATATTTATTTATTTAGAAATATCAGAAAAGGACTTCTAGGTGCCTTAAGACAGCTCTTTTCTTCGATATTAAAAAAATAAATATTAAAATTTTAATAATTTAAATAAAACTAAATTATAATTTTTATAATGTTTAATTATTTAAAATACCAGAATAGGACATCCAGTTGTTTTAAGACTGCCCTTTTCTTTGATATTGAAAATAAATAAACATTATTATTTAAAAGAATTTAGATATATATTTATATGAATAAGATAATAATAATAAAATAATTATGAAAATAATAATTTAAACATATAAAATTAAAATATAAATAAACAATGAGTAAAATAAATAAAATTAAAATTAAATATAAAAAGTAATAAAACTTATAATTAAAATTGGTGACTAAATTATGACATATCAAGATTAAAAGCTCTAGTTTGAAATATTATGAAAACTAGGTGTTACTAATGTAATTAATCCTTAATTAATTAATTAGAGGTCAAAATAAAAGTTATTAAAGTTGTAAGGACTAAATACGGTATTTACCCTAAATATATATAAGTATACAGGCTATGACTAAATTATAAACTAAATAAAATTGAAAGACCGAATTAAAAGGTTCAAGATTTGATTTCAGTGACCAAAATGAAAAGTTACAAAACTGTGGTGGCAGCGGGTATAGTTTACCCACGCGAGAAATTACAGATATACCCCTTCCCCAAAACGGCATCATTTGGGGAAGGGTTTAAAAATCCCTTAAGGCCGTCCCTTAAGGGCAAGCTTCTCACTTTCATCTTTCTTCTTCTCTCTCTAGCTGAGAGAGAAGAAAAACTCTCTCGCCTCTCTCTAGTTTTCTATCGCCGGCCGGCCACCACCAACGGCGCCGATCACCACCGCCGACCGCCACCAACGGTGGCCGGAATTCCCAAATTACCCTAGAGTGTAGATCTCGACCTCCTAAGGCCGAATATGGCCTTCGCTTGTCCTAAAACGCTTTAGATCGTTCTAGATCTAAAATAAATCGAAGGTTTTACCTTCGGTTTTACAACGATTTCGGTGGTTCCAAACGGTTTGGAGGCTTTTATGATGGTAAGATGCTCTTTTTCCTCTTCTTTCTGATTATTGGGTGTCGATTTGTTCTCGTATTCTGCTCTCTGTTTGGTTCACTATTCTTGCCGTGGCTTTCTGTTTGTGTGTTGGTTGCCCCTCTGTTTTGGTTATCTCCGATTCTTCCTCTCTCCTCCCTTTTTTCAGGTTTGGTGGTGGCTTTTTATAGCCACCACAGTGCTCGGATCGGACCAATCCAAAGAGGGAAGCTTCGGTGAGTCACCATAGCTATGGTGGTGACTTACCATAGGGCTTCAACGTGTGTGGCTTTGTGGTGTTTCTGGAGGCTTCTTCAAGGCGTGGCATCATGGCAACGGCGGGCTTAGACACCTGGTAGTGGAGGTGTCGGCAGTGGAGACGTGGGGCGGCTGGAACTCACTGGAAGCGGCGGCTGGGAGCTAGGGTTTGGAAACCCTAGTTGAAACCCTAAATTGGTTTAGGGTTTCCTTTTGGGTCTGGGCCGGTTTGTAATTATTATTATTTTTAATAATAATAATAATATATATAATAATAATAATAATATTATTATTATTATTATTATATATAATAATAATAAATAAATAAAATGGGTAAAAAAAAATTAGTATCTTCATAACCCATTTTAGTGCACCGATCAGAGAGGGTTTCCAACTGCTGTAGTTTCCAGAAGAGAGCCAAGAGACTGTTTTTGTCCTCGTCCAATGCTGATGAGCGAGTCTAATTCTTGAACTTTGGGTAAAAGTCATTGCTCGATCGTGTTCAGAAGTTTGAGTTGTAGTTGGTTAATAATGGATCTCGCTAATTCTAGTGTCTTGTTTGTTTGGGTTGATTGCAGGTTTAATTAGCGTTTCGAGGGTTGTACTCGTGTTTCAAACAATAATTGTATTTACTTTGAAATGATGTACTCTTTTTCCTCCATTTAAGTTAGAGAATTTTTTTTAATGTCGGCTCATTTTGTCATCTTCGTTTTGTATGTGTTTAATTAATCCTACAAAACCATCTTTAAAAAAAATCAAACAAATTTTCAATAATCAGTTTCATCGGATTGTAATTTTATGCATATTAGAATACAATTCAACATTGGTAAAGTAATGCTACAACTTTAATTTTGACATAACTATAAACTTTATAAACTATTGAACTACCATAAGAAAAACAACAATATTTCTTGAAACATCTCTTTCCCCCCCCCCCCGAAACATCTCTAAATTAAGAATATCGTAACAAAATTTTGTAATTCAAAATTGTGTTAATCATTTCATATATAATAATTTCAAATTGTTCGTTGATCGGTGAATTACTTGGGAGGCACCCCAATTTTAGCACGATAAAGAGAATTATTGAGTTTACGTGGGTGAAAAATTTGATGGTGGAAGTAAGAGATTTTGAGACATTTTTTTAAAGGGCTAGTAAAGGTAGATTTTCAAATCATAAAGTTATAGTTATATTCTATTTTATTACACCTTTAAAATCGTATCATATGTTTAAAATTGTTAAGTGATGAATGAGAAATCTAGGCTTAAACTATTTGTGAATTATGTTGAGGAAAAATGAAAAATTCCCAATAATGTGAAATATGTTTATATACATAAATAAACTTGGGTGTTAGTGAATGTGTAAGAGTTGTGTGCATAAACGCGGGGTTTAATTCGGTATGACATGTTTGATATGGAATGTCTTGATTGGTCGGATCCTCCGAAGGCTTCTGTATATTTAAATTGAATTTAATAGTTCCTTCATTCAGACATTATTTTAAGTAATTGTTATTTTAATTCACAAGAATGACAAACATTGGAACAAAAGACAAGCAGGAGCACCTTCGAACCAACTTATCGAGGATCATTCCAAGCATTAGTTGTGTTCAAAAGACCTTTAATGTTATGACGTTGTATAAGGGTATGACATTCCTCCCAAACTATTAGGTTTTCAAAGGAATCAAACGTCGCAAACCTAATCCTAAATTCAATCAATGCTCCGGTTGCTCTTTTCACTACAGTAAAACTGTTATACAACGACATTTTTAGTGGCGTTTTGAGAGTAAATGCCACTAACTTTAAACATATTACGGCGTTTACGTTCCAAACGTCACAAAATGGCAACTTTAGCGGTGTTTTATACAAACATTGTAATAGGATTCATCTATAGTGGCGGTTTTTAAACAAACGCCGCAACAAAGTAGTACTTTAGCGGTGTTTTTATATAAATGCCGCAATAGGGTTTATCTATAGTATCATTTTTTCAACAAATGCTACAACAGAGTAGTACTTTAGAGGCGTTCTTATACAATCGCCTCAATAGAGTTCATCTATAGTGGTGTTTTTTCAACAAACGCCTCAACAGAGTAGTGCTTTAGCGGCATTTTCATACAAACGTCGCAATAGTGTTTATCTATAATGGCGTTTTAAGCAAAAATGCTGCTAAATACTCAACTTTAGTAGCATTTTTATATAAATACTGTTAAAGAATGTACTTTAGTGCAAACGCCAAAATAAACTCATACTTTAGTGACATTTTTATACAAACGCAGTTAAAGTTTCATAAATTAATGACGTTATTTGAATAAATACCGTAATTTCTTAATACATTAGTGGGGTTTGTGTTTACAAATGCTGCAAGTTTATAGTTTCCAAGTCCCCGCATCTTTAACTCTTAGCTTATTTTTTTAAGTAACGGATACCCAAAGCCAGTTCTTGTAGTTCCAATTTTCTTATTTTTTTTTTAACAATGGTTGCATTAGCATTGGCCACCACTTCACCATTGCTATCAACACCCTCTTTCAAGAAAACAAATCTCAAAACCTTTCCTACCCAAATACGCTCTCCCTGCACTGCTATCAACCTACTTCTTTTGAGTTCCAAATTTCAAAACTTTCACCGTTTTCCTCTTCCTTCAACCGAAACAAGTGCTTCCAAAAATGGGTTATTCGATACAACTGACCCAAGCGGAGAAGATGAGATTTTTACTTCCTTTTGAGGAGAAGCCGTTGAATTTCGCCCTCTAGGTTTTGGTTGGGTTTTCCTTGTCTCTGATTTGGGGTTTAGGGTTTAGAGATGCTAATACCGCCACTGCCACCGCCCCGACTTCGGCCGCAAGATTGCGGGTGCTTTGCGCGGGTCGGGTTGGCCAGACGAGACTGTCGTGTTTGCTCTTGCTACTCTTCCTCTCCTCGAGCTTCGTGGAGCTATTCATGTTGGTTACTGGATGCAACTCAAGCTTATGCTCTTGACAATCTTATCAATTCTCGGGTCTTCCTAATTTTCAAATTTGAAAATATTCTAAGTTTTTAGTTCATTTTAGATTTATATTTTACAAATTTGAGGCTAAGGTAGCATGTTCACTTGCATAGTAATTTTTTTTTAATGCTCATGCTTAGAATTGTATAGCATAAAATTTTAATGGTTAGTTTGTTTATACATGATTGTCTTGGGAAACCAATGAGCTGGTGATAATTTTACAAACCTTGTTATTTGACCGCAGGAATATGCTTCATGTGCCCTTCATTATACTGTACCAGAAGAGGTTTGCTACTTTTCTTGTTGGGAAAAACCAGTCTGCATCTAGGTTTCTTGACATGATTTTCAAGAGGGCCAAGGAGAAGGTTGGTCATGTGGAAGAATTTCAATGGCTCAGGCTAATGCTTTTCGTGGCTGTTCCTTTCCCCAGAACAGGAGCATGGACTGGGGCCATCATAGCCTCTATTCTTGATATGCCCTTCTGGTCTGGTGTATCAGCCAATTTCTTTTCATATATTATTTAGCTTTGATTAGTGTGATTCATCCATCAGACTCCCATGGAGCTTCTCTCTTAAATGCAAGCTTTGTTTAGATGCTTAGATTGTGATTTGTAGGAGTACAAGCTCAAAAGTACATATTGCTTTTTCGGTATTTTTAGACAATGGAATAAGAAATGAGCTTTTCAATTCGTAAAATAGGAGAAAAGGCCATTCTTCAACCCGTAGATCTGAATATGCATAACTATGTTCTGTATTAAGTCTTATATGTCCATGAAGGCTGCTGAGGAACCAGTCAACCAGCATTACAGTTAGTCTATCTTATATTTTACTGTTTCCACATCATATAAATTACTATAACGAATTGGCTTGTTTAGCTTATTGCATTTTTAACCTCTGTGGTCTATAAGGCTCGTAATATTCTATTGACGTGGTAAGCTTTCAGTCTTTGTTAGATTGAATGAAATGCTAGCCAATTTGTAGTTCATCTTCATCAGGGGTTGGACAAGATAAGTTGAATCTGTCAGCTTCTCCAACAGCCTTTTGGGTTCAATCTTTAGCTATTACCATACCAACTATTTAGTATAGAGGTTCCTAATCCCTGATCGGTGAATTTAATTTCTATGTTTGACCTCTATCTCATTACTTTAGTGGCGTTTGTAATTAAAAGTTTAGCAATGGTGAAGTGTTGCAGTCGATGATCTGGACACTTTTCTGCATAGTGTTAGAGAACTTTTAAGTATCCATTCAAGTAATGTCTCCATGGTTACATATTTAGACCAAATTATTGTTTTAATACAGGGTTTTTGTTTAGCTGAAGGATTTTCATTTGTGGTTGCTTTTGGCATTTCCTTTAGATGCACAGGTTGGTTTATCAACATATGTATCTGCTCCTAGCATTGTGAAACAAATATCTGCTCTGCATTCGGAATTGATTGCCCTTCAATCCGATCTTGAGAATTCTCTTCCCGAGGAAAGAAATAGACGCATCAATGAGCTATGAGTTATTCTATTTTGCTTATATTTTAGAAATTTTCTTCAACGTTACTATTCGAAACACATTTAAAATACTTTCTGAGTTAGAATTGTGTTTGATGAATTTTGAGCATCTGATATTTCCTTATTGTGCCAGGTGCACTTTGATTCAAAGTTTGCAGCAACTATTATTTGCATCTTCAACAACTGCACAACCAATATTGACACCTCGGGTGTGTCCAACTATCTGTGCAAAGCCGTGTCGATTTTCCCTTCATTTCCAGTTGAACAATGATTCTGTTAATTATCATAGCCTCATTACTTTTCCTTTCTTTTGCATGATAAAATTCACGTGCTTTGCTGACAATTTGATTCCCCCTTTTAGCCTCTAAGGAAAGAGCTGGATGAAATGGAAAAGATCAATGCAAAACTCTCTGCTGCAGTCGAGGAGGTTACCCTTGAGCATTGCAAAAAGAATATTTTATTGGAGTTAATAACAGTTTCCCTCATGGATGAAGTCTTGCATATCACTACATATGATTACAACCATTTTCAGTTCCCATTCCAGTATATGCTCAATTTATAAGAAATCTTTGATAAACTAAATAAACAGTCATTAATGTTTTTCTTTTATCCATTGATATTTCAAAACTAACGATTTGATCATTAATGTTATCGATTTATAAGAAATCTTTATAAGCGACGACAATGGCGATAGCTATGGAGATGCATGATGTGAAAGGAGAGTGGTGAAGGCTGTTTCTAGTGTGAATTTGATGCTGGTTTTGAATGAGATTGATGACCATTTCTTGAAATCCTGAGAGAATGCTCGAGAGGTTTCTAAGATGCATTATCATTCCAAGTTAACTGTTAACCCAGGTAATCTGCTTGGTCTTTAAGTTACTTTGATGATTGCTAATACGTTTTTAGCTGCGACAATTCCAATTTTCGATGGTTGAGTTCGATAAAGGTAGGGTCTTCTACCATCTTTTCCGTGAAACCTGATCTAAATTAAAATTGTGTTTTTCAAGGATTTAATGGACCTTTTGTGTAAGCTGGCTTTACATTTACTTCCTTGTTTCCTTTACCTCTATATGTTAAAATTAATTCAATTCGATTATGAATTTTTTATATAATTTGGTTCATTTAATAATCAAGAATTTTAAAAATTTGATTAATTAGATTAATGTTTGTTCAATTCTGTTAATAACTGAACTGATGATTTAAATATTTATGTCTAGCATGAAGTAAGCGAACTCAATGGTTATACTTTCTCTTCGCAGATGCATGTTAGTTCAAGATTATGTAATTTTCTTTCCCCTCATTTTTCAACTGTATTATCAAGTAATGAATGGAAAGAAAAAGGAGGTAGTGAAAACGTGGAAAGAAAATAAACTTTGAATGTGCTTAGTAGGAAAGAAAATGAGAGGATTGTCATTTTCCATCCTCATGTAAAAATGAATTATTCGGAATGATGAGAGGAGAGAACATGTGAGAGAGATGCTATTTAGTTTACACACAGCAAACCAGTAGTATAATTTTTTTTTGTGTTTCATTTGTCACAACACATTTAATTTTGAGCCAAAACAAAGATTTAGTTTTTGTCATAATTTATTTGATAAATATTTGATATATTGGTTGTGAGTTTTAGTTTGTTGTGATATGTTCTCAATTGTGAAATTAAATGTAATGCTTATGTTTAGTTGCTTACTTTCTCTATAATATTAGCAATTAACATTTGAAATTGATAATCCAAAAATACAAAATGTATAAGAGTTGGATGGATTTGTCAAGGGTAAGCGACGAATATCGAAATGCAGTCGAAACTGAAGCAAGAGAAGCAGAGAGAGAACAACATATCAGAAAAAAATGTGAAGACTTTCAAAATCAACTTCAAGCTATGATACAGATGATAGAAAAAATCAACTCCAGAGTCCACCATCTTAGGTGTTATTATTGTTTATTCTAATTAACAATGTTGAATTACATTATATTTTACGTTAATGTAAACTTTGATTTATTATTATGAATTTCAAGTTTCTTGTTATGGATGTCAAGTTTAATGGATAACACTACATGTTAAACTTAGCTAACAAAAGAGTAGAAAACAACATTTGAAAATTTAGTTTTTAATTCACAGCGTTTGTATAAAGAAACACCACTAAATACATAGTAATAGTGACGTTTTTGAAAAATGCCATTAAAGTTCTAGATCTTTTGCGGCGTTTATACAGAAAACGCCACTATATACGTAGTCAAATAGCGGCGTTTCATAGTCACAAACACCACTATATGACATAAAATTTAGCGACATTTTTTGGAACAAACCCACTATATGTCAGAATATTTAGCGGGGTTTTTGGGACAAAATGCCAAAAAAAATATAAATGGCGTCATTTGAAAAAAGCGCCGCTAAAAAGATAACCTTTAGTGGTGTTTGTTTCAACGGTACTTTTTGCAACATTTGTTTTTTCTCCACAAAGGTTTTTAGGGCACTTAAAATGCTGCTATATGATTGAAAAAAGCGCCGCTAAAAACTTGTTTTGCTAGTGTTTGGGATTTTCAACTTCATATTTCTTTCGATTTCATAAATTCAAAATAATACTCAATGTTTCTTTTTGAGTTTTCAACTTGTGACCTCTTTCTAATTTCACAAATCCTGAGTTCAATCAATACTCAAACCACAAAAACATATAATATTCTCTACTTTTAAACAACTTCAATTATAGAAAAAGGTTAGATTACAATTCATTATTTATTGTAGTCGTACTATTTGTATGCTCATAAAAAATATTTTCACTATTTTTAAACAGTTTCAATTATAGAAAAATACTAGGTTACAATTCGTTAATTATTTATAGTCGTGCTATTGGTGTGCTCATCTCGTTGTACCTTGAGAGATGATCTATCAACGTTTTTTAGCATAAGAAGAGCGGACAAATCTATATTAAGAAAATTGTGTACATAGGCTTCAACAAATCAATCATCTAATCTCATAACTACTTACGAGTAAACTATTTCTTTCTTTCTTATTTCTTTTTCCTACTCTGTTAGATTTAGTAATTATATCATTATTATTTTTAATGTTTTATTTCTCGAACTAATGTAATGTATCAGTTGATTCTATCTTAAGGTTCTATTGTTACTAATTATAAGAAGTATGATCTTTAGTGACCATTTAAATGTGATATTGAAGAAATTCGTTGCAGAAAGTAGGTTATTTCTGACGAAAATTATTTTTGTCACTTTTAAAATGAGTAATTGTAATTTATTTTTATTTAATCACTCATTAGGTATTAATTGTGACAATTTTAAAGTACAACACAAGTAATTAGTCACTAATAATGTTTTATTGTAACTAAAGCAAGTTGGTATTATCAATTAGTCACTAATAAAATGGTCGAATTAGCGCCAACTTATTTTTCGCCAGAAAAATTGTAGTAGTGACAACATAATAAGTAGTGACTATTATTATTCATAATTGTAACGAAAATATTTTGTCACTAGTCTTTATTGGTGATTTGTGACGGTAATTGTTTATGTCACTATTAAAGTGAATAATTGTGAAATATTTCTATTTGGTCATTATAAGCTTTGATAGTGTCATTTAATCTTCAATTATGATTACTTTTTATCTTAAAGAATTGATTAGTTTTTATATGTAATTTATGATCTTTATTGACATATATATAAATTTTGCTAATATCGTTTAATTATTAGTTTTTTTAAATTTAGAACATCCACCACAAAAGATTAATACGTTATCTTTTTTATATTTTAAAATCAACCTAATTATTTTTTATATTTTTCTTCTATGAACGTATTTCATATTAGAAATCATAGAAAATTTAATTAAATTATTATCATAATTAATACTAATTTTTTTATATTTTCATAAAATAAATAAAATTAGTTTCAACAATAGTTTAACCTAAATATTATTTTCTTAGCATAGTGGTTACGCGTTACATTGTTCCCCTGAATATCCCTTGTTCAATCATCTTAAAAGTCATGTACTGTATTAATTTATCAAAAAAACTAACATGTTGAACCAACAATTAGTTGGTCTAGCGAGATAAGACACTAAGTCCCTTAATCAAATTGGGTTGGGAAGGTCGCCCTCGCCTATGTAGTTCTCGATCCGGATTAGTAACTCAATAAATCGAAAATTGATGATTATACAAAAATAAACATGTGGAGATGACATCATCTATATCCAACTTATGACAATGATTGCAATTTAAGTTCCTAAACAAGATGTATACAACTAATTGATAAATTTTTGTCACTATTATAAATTTATGTGTCAAAAAACGTAGTCACAAAAAACATAAGTAATTGTGATAAAATCCATTAAAGTCGTCAATAATATAATAGTGACGAATCAAAAATTTTATTACTATAATAATTAGTGACTAAATTTGATACTTTTAGTAATCATTCTTAATGTCACTAGAAATGCAGTTTCTTGTAGTGACCGTTAAATTTGTAGTGCCTTGGTTTCTGCTTTATTTCTTAAATTGTGGGCAATTTTTTTTTCTCTAAGAACGATCAAAAGGTTTCAAAAGTTTGGTGGGTTAATAAACTTTGTGATACTGAGGATGAACTAATTGTCAAGAAGGCCATGTTGTAAAGGTAAATGAGTCCTTACAAATCGATACATCTAATTCTTTTGATTATGTGAAGAAGTCTGAGTTATTTGTCGATACAATAGATAAGGATGATCAGTCTGTTAATATGAGGATTGTGTACAATGAGCCTATAACAATTGGTAAGATTTAAAAAAAAAAATTAATTTAAATATAAATAACACATTTTAGGTATTAGAATTACATAACAATAAAAATACCTAATATTTCATATACATTTCATAAAGGAAAAATATTTATATATTCAATATAAATATAACAAAATAATATCTATCTAATGTTTGCAATTTAAGGTGAGCTGTATACCTAATATATTTGTCATACAAATGAAAGCACATAAAAGAAAAGAAAAAAAGAAAATCGCATTCACAGCCATAGTTTTCAGAACCAGACCGGTCAGCGAACTGGCCGTGTTACCGATTCACTGGTTCAACCGATCGAACCGGTTCACTAGTTCAACAGGTCAAACCGGTTAAACCGGTCGAACCGGTCAGACCGGTCGAAAGAACCAGCCGATATCATAATTAATTAATTATTTAAAAAATTAAATAAAAATATAAAAAAATATTTAATAAAAAACATTTTTATATCACAAGTGATATTCAAAGCAAGTTATAACATATATAAGTTAAAAACCATAAAATCAAGTGAAACAAAATGATTCAAATCAACTACAACATAATATTTAAGGTAAAACATATTAAATAATAAATATAATTATATAACTATAATCAAAAAATAAATTTGGGGCTAAAAAATCATAACAAACGATGTCGTTTGGTTTAATTTTTTTTTTAAAAAAATCCCACATAGCTAAGAAAAATAGAAGAGCATCACAAAAGTCTAAAGAGTAAAAATATGAAAACAAAACAATCTCACATGGCTAAGAAACATAGAAGAACATCACAAATGACTTCTATAAATAATAGAGGTAATTTGGCATTCAAAATCATGGAGCCTTTTGGTGAGCACAGAGTGAACTATTCTTTCGCTTCAATCGAGCTCGAATTTCAGGCTTCAATCGAGCTTCTAAATTTTTTTTTGAATTCGAGCCTTTTTGAGTTCAAGTATCAATATTATATTTCAAGTTCGAGTTGAACTTGATAATTTTTAGCTCGTGAGTTTTTGAGTCGAGTTGAACTTACTTTTAAAGTTTTCGAGTTCGACTTGGCTCGTTTAACAAATGACGTCGTTTGATTTAATTATTTTTTAGAAAAAAAAATAGAACCGGTTTTCAACTGGTTCACGGTCCGGTCCGGTTCGAATGGTTCACAGCCGGTTTAACGGTTCCTTCCGGTTCACTAATAGCGGTTTAACCGGTGTAGAATGAACCGGACTATGCAGC